TTGTAGTCTGGAAGGGATAGTTCTGATATTATATGTTTTGTATGTTGTTCTAGTATACATACTCAGAGACTAAAGCGTTAGTCCTAATGAGGGACCTAACTTTTCCTGTTATTCCTACTGATCCTCAACAACATCATCATCCTGATGGTTATAACAAGTGTCACATTTATTTTAATGTACCCAGAAACACAGAACATTGAGGTTTTAATCAGCCAAAGGCTTCGTTTTGTTGAATATATATGAGCCATGACTTTCACCCATACCAGTTTTCTATTTAAGAGTGTCAACCCAAAACTCAATTGGAGTTTTGTGATGAGAGAGTGTCTGGATGGCGACCATTGGCAAGAATCCCACTGGAGTAAGAGAGTAACATTTCATTAAACCACTAATGGAAATCCTTGCTAATTATTTTATTCATACAAATTCACTTTGAATAACGAAAACAAAAATATTCAACTTCAGAGCTGACCCCAATGGTTGAAAAAAAAAAATCTATTCCCCAAATGTTTTTCTTTACAGAAGAGTCATCGGAATCTCATTACTTTTACAAATTCCAAATTATCTAACTGCATTTTTCGGTTCATCAATCACTTGATTGATTTGAAGCTTGTTTACAGGTCTACATCATATGGATGGGGTACTGCAGCATCATGCACAAATCCTTTACAGTTCCAATTGGCATGATCAGTTGATTTTTGACATTCTTCCAATTAAATGAACCACTCCCATTATCATGATATCTGATATTTACCTTATGCAATTAGACATGTTTAGATAAAGTATCATAAGTATCATCATCATCATCATCATCATCATCATCATCACAAACAACAATGTGATGCTGTACATACTGTTCTTGTTTTGATTTTTCAATTACTTAAAGATTGTAATCATTTAAAACTCACATGTCTGTCGTTTCTTGATGGCATTCATCCAAAATCATCCTTGCGCAAGCTTAGGTTTTCATTTTGTTTGGAGATCCTAGAAAATTTGGTGCTCAATCAGAAAAACTTGAAGAAAATATATGTGTATGTAGAAGTTTCATCTTGAAATTATCATGATTATGACTTAGGGTTCATTAAAGTTCAGCATGTTCAAGCTGATGTAAGAAAGAATTATGATATATTGCGAAAATCATGAATAATATAATCATGTTTATTATCCAGTTAAACAAATAAAACAATTTTTGTTATTAAATGTCTCTGTTTATACAATATTATCAATATATAAAATCCTTATTGCCTTGTTTACAAACAGCCTTCTAAATTTGTTGGCTCTGTAAATGTCTCACTCCAAACTTGCTCACCTGGTCTGCTGAACAGACTTCTTGGTTTCTTTGCAGGAGCTGTAATTAACAGGATGTTCACCTGTACTATACATATTACATGTGGTTTACTATCAAACAAACACCAGCTTAGCCTAAGGAAGTATTAAGAAATTATCGGTCTCAAAGATCAAAGGGAATTGATTCTGTTCTTTACTACCAAGGGAGATATTGAATTATTCAGGAAATAACGACTGCTGGTGGCCTCTTTACAAACAACAACAAGAACAACCTATACAACCAAAGAGGTATATATCACTGTATCAAGCATTAACTTTATTTTAATTACATATTGTGTCCTCCTATAGCCTAAGGTTCTGCAATATTAATTGGACATGTATATTCCTTACTTCTTATATTGGTAATAGAATATTTGTATGCCATCGGTATGTTTTACATAAACGCATGAAGCATGCACGCAAGCACATACTTCCGCAACTCTTCCTTCCATATGTGTAATTGCTGAATACTGGTAATAGAATATCTGTTGTGCATATTTTTACATAAACACTGATAAACACCTCATACCTGACTTGTACCGTGGAGGCTTGTTTCTCGATATCTGAAACATACATTATTGAAATTGTCACTACAGATTATCTCCCCTTATAACCTTTGCATATGATAACCAAAGTTAAGAGCCGACATAAAACGGCATTTAACTTAACATTGAAGATTATTTCATTCAAATATCAATGTGAATGAACATGTGTGGCTGAGATATCATGGACTAAGAACCATTCCCTTAATATCGAGTGTAAAGCAGGGTAACAAGTGACATCTGTTAACATATTCTGGTACATCACATTCAAGGCAACAAGTCAATGACATTCTGCTTTCCAGACAGAAACTCTATCCATTAGACCACTGAGAATTCAGTTAATAACCTTGGAATAACAAGTATCCTTTTCAAATTTCCATGTTCTATGTAAACATATGTGCATAATTCCCATGCCATATCATTCATAAACAAGATACATACCAGCGTTTCTGTGTCCTCAACTTCATCAAATTCAAAGTCATCATCATAACGGTTCTGAAATAATTATTGTACATTTAACAAAAAGTCATTCATTCATCTGCAAAAAGTTCCATTGCACAACTTTCACCATCTTAGTCATGCAATTATAGTCAATGCATTGATACATGTGAAGATCGGGGTTAGAATTGGTCTTCAGCAACCAATGCTTATTGTAAGAGGTCACTAAAAGGCATCAGGGTGGTCAGGCTTTCGCTGACTTGGTTGACAATTGTTATTGTATCTCAATTCGTGAGAATGATGCTCATGTTGTTGATCACTGGGTTGTCTGGTCTAGACTGAATTATTTACAGACCGTCGCCATATAGCTGGAATATTGCTGAGTGTGACTCCACTAAACACACACACACACACACACACACACACACACGCACACGCACACGCACACGCACACGCACACACACACACACACACACACACACACACTGTAATAATTAGTCTCACTCTCAGCATGGTGGTACAAACAGTACTTATTATCAATGGCTATGTTTATTTGTTTGGTCTCAAATCGCCTGTTGTTGAAAAAAACATACCATTCAGGGCCTAACTGTAGCGTCAGTAACAACATGGATAATGACTATGGTGAACTGCCCAAACATTTCAATGTTCCCAGAATTGTTACACGACACTAACAACAAGTAGGTAGCAGAATCAATTTGAGAATTAGTTTGACTATCCAGACGACTAACTGTAAGCATTTACATGAATACTAAAATGAACAAAAGTAACAAACTTTCACAGATGTAGAAGCTTGACAACAATATCTATCATTCTTAGATGAGTTGATTACAATGACAAGATGTATCACATTCACACTAGCTAACCACGCTAATACACAAAAAGCTTTGAGCATGATGAGGTGAGGTGAAATGAAGGCTATAAATGTTGTGCGACCTAAGTCATGTGGTTGCTTGTACTAGTGTCTGCTTATGTCTGTTGTATCGTGCTAGTCAACTGAAATACCATGCTGCAGCATAACACTGATACAGCAAGACACTCTGAGCCAACCACATCCTCAAAAATCTCCAGGCTCCACTAGGAACCTAGATGCATCTACAGCTCTGCCCAATAATGTTATTACCCCTCTTTGCTGGCTTTTTATCCAATCAGGTCTACGCTGGGAAGTTGGGCGTACCAATCACAAGGTTTCTATCATAACTCACTTTTGCTTCTTTCATCTAACAAATTAAAACTGGCAATACAATTGTTACTCTGGTAGTCTGAAAGAGGTAGAAGGAGTTCTAGCATATAATTTTTTAAGGTTTCAGACCTGTCAACTTGTCTGTATGATTTTTTTCCCTAAATCTGAATCACACCTTTGCAGCTGTGGCCATTATCTTTGTTGCCACTGGCAAGCTTGAACAGCTTATCTGATTGGCTACTGTGAGAAGGCTGGATCCAGCAAAGGGAATTATTAAAATTATCATAGATACCGTAGATGCACCGAGGTACTAGTGGAGATTTATCAGAACTTATAAACCTCCAGTGACATCACTCCATTGTCTCACCAGGTTCTCCTTTTACCGGAGTAAACCTCTACAGGCAGTTTCAAGGGCATTCTCCATGAATCCTGTGGATTTTCTACAGAATTGCCAGCATCTTGGGGATTTTCTGAGGAATAGCCCAACTTTGAATTATTATTACTTGTTTTGAAGATTGACATAACTTTGTCTTGCTATCACTGAATACAATCGTAAAATTTCACATTATTGAAAACTTCCAATATAAAGTGCCGATACCTGGTTTCGAACCTGCAACCTTTCGTTTACTAGCTTGGCGGCTTTATCCACTAGGCTACTAAGGATCGCTGTGAAGAATGAGACTGTTTGTAAGTATGAACCATGTGTTCCTCACAAGACAGAAGTAGTCGCGGGCAGCGCACGCATGCAGGACACCCCAATTGGCGAGTGCAGAGCATGTGTATTGCGTGTGCAAGGCAAGGTTTTGGCTGCCAGTCTCATCCCAGTTGATTTCAACAGTAAATGCCAAATATTAAAATTATATCTAAAGTATATCTATGGTCGGTTCATAAGTTGGATCAAAACCGACTCCGAGGGTTTTGTTTGAAAAAAGTAAACCCTTGGCCTCGGAAACCGGCCCTCCCCAAATTCCCTCTGCCGCGGGCTTACTTTTTCAAACAAAACCTTGGAGTCAGTTTTGATCCTTTATGCATACCCTGGAGATTATGGAGGATGAGCCAAACAGTATCTCTTGTCCCTACATGCCAATCACCAGACATGGTAACAACAAGTAGCCACTTAACACGCTTAACAATGAAGACAATCACAAAAAGTTTTGGATTCCTTGAGACACTTGTTAAATTCTCTGTTCTGTCGTACATACCAAAATATGAGCACTGAATTTCAGTACTACAAAGCTGGGACATCATGTCTATCGTGCCAAACACCTACTCAGGTCAAACTTTCCTGCTAGTGCCCTGTGGTTTAAAACTATAGAGTATTGATAACATTTAGTATAGAGCATTGATAACATTTAGTTACTTCCTTTTTGACAGACTGATCAATACAATAACGTCTGTAAAATATTCCAAATAACATACCACTAACAACTGGCAGAGTTTGACCTTTCAAGAAACACCTTTTAGAATGATATTTGAGAAAAATTGACACAAAATACAAAAGGTCTGACATCACATGCTATCAAGGTGAAAGATCTTATGAAAATTAGATAATGTTGTATTTGCATTTATTAAATACACCTACCAACAGGTGGATATTGATAACAGAAAATCACTTTTCCGCATAAACATGATGAATTTTTAACTGATGGTATTCATGAGGATCATAATCAAGATAATTGCATAAATTTCTTTCACAGTATGAACATACTTAACACATGATTAACAGTTAACACATAGAAAACATCCAAATTCCCAAATATTACCGTTGTCATTGAAATAACATGTGTTTGGAATGTTAGTTAGAAAGTAAAATAGTGCATATAAGTGTAGATATTAATGAGGACAACATCATGTGGTACTTGTAGTGCTATGAATGATGTCATGCACCAAGTTTACAATGCATTGAACACTATGTCAACCTGTACCAAACAGTGTTTCCGTTTACCGGCATATGCCTGTATTTTACCGGTAAAAGGATTGGTATATTTATGGCAAACAAGTAGTGGGGACTGGCAATAAATTCACCTAGTTAAATTATTTCCTCCAAATAGGCAATAAAAGTTACCAGCAACTGTTAAGATTTAAGGAAATTGCCTTGTAAATTTGATCTGCACAATATGCTCTATGTGTATGGAATTTTTTTTTTAGTAACAACCCCTAGTGATTATTGTCATTGGCTGGACGCCTCGACCCAGATGAGAGGCATTTTGGCATGAGGCTATAACGTATCAGATAGCAATACTCTATCGGGGCCAGTAGTAAAACAACTTAACAATAGGTAATGGATAATTAAGGGATTGTTAATAATTTATGGCTAGGGGTGTGATGATGACTTAAATTAGGGGAGGGGAAGATTTTGTACTGGGGAGGTAGGTAGCTCAACAACTCTGTACACATATACAGCGGGGGCAGGGACAGACATTTCATACATAAAAAAATAAAGAATTAAAGATCACATATACTCTATGGGGGTACAAATACATAAATCACTAATTGGCATTGTTATAAATGAAACCCTGTCATTAAAACTAGTCATTTCGATCTTTAATTAACTTAAATCGACCTTTTTGGCAACACTGCACAATTCTCACCCGCGAACGAAATTTCAACCGTCTCTGTGACGTCATATGAGGAATAGATATAAGGGCCGATGCAGAATTCATGTACATTTCAGGGGGTAAATTATCTTGTTTACAGGTTTGTATAAACCTGAAATCGTGACAACTGTTGTGAAAAATGAAAACTATATGTTCTCACAATCTACTGTCATTTAATTTGTCTCCTGCTTTGCCTAAGCTCGAAAGTTACAACCTGTTTTCATAGACGATTCTGTCAAAATCGCTTGGTGTCGCTAGGCCTTATTTGTTCGAGCCAGACGCTAGTGATAGTGAAAACGATGATCAGCCTCGCTCATCACGGTTACGGTTAATTTCTTTAACCTAAAAAGTGCAATATTAAGAAGGGTCGATGCCCATCAGATGCAGTTATTTGAAAATATCCCTGGTAGTTCTTGTCTGATTGTAATAAAGTATCAAAGCAGTGTGGGCTTTTTCAGGTTTTCTAGATGTCTGGATGGTATAATGACTGATCCAAATTAATCCCATTTCTGTGTTTTTTATCTCGATATGTAATCATGTCATGTAAAAATATGACGTCTATTACGTATGATATTAAAAATTGACATTTGAATTATTTGAATCCGTAAACTAAACACCCCTACTTTGCCATTGCTAGAAGAATCTGAAAATTTATTTAGGTAAATAGGTACATACAGTTTTAGCACACAGCAAATGTTTATATGTATTTCTTATGCAACAATGAAGTTCTGTTTGTATTCTCAAAACAGTGTCGGCCCATAAGTTTTCACATGCAATTAAAATTGCATGCAGTACAGCAATTAACACCCCCTTGTTGTAACCCGTGTTAGGTGGTAAAACCTTCACGTTATTTGTCATCATTCACTTGATGGTCAGTTAATGAATTTATAACAGGTATAATTAGTGGTAACACCACTTAGATTACCCGACAAAGGTTCCCATTTGGCATTTCTTGTGTCTGAAGTAAATACTCAAAATTATAAACATCGAACATCGGATTCGCCGATAACATTAATTAATTAATTGATTAATTACTTCTATCTTACACAGCGGATTTGTCAAAAGGTAGAGTTTATGTATGTAGATTTACTAATCTATACTGAATACACTCTGTCGTGTCTGTGGCTGCAAAAAAACGTCTTTCAAAGGATTAGCCGACAATACATTGATTGATTGCTCATTATTGGCTAACTAAATTACTGTTTTGTAGAGAAAGTCGGACATTATGCAATTAGTTGCCAGGTGAGCTAACTTGGGTG